TCTAGATAATGTTACCTCAGAAAGGATGGTTAAAAGTAGAACCATGTTAACAGCTCTTCCCTATTGCTTAGACACTACAAAAGAGGCTTATGGCCTAAACTCCACTCAAGGTACATTCCAGGAAAGTCCATGAACTCTCCTGTGCTATACCTTTGATAAGACTATAGGCCTTCTACAACTGGTGTTTGTTTCAGAGTCTAGAGGCCTCACATACTTTCTAACCCTCTCTGCCCTGTCTCTTTTCTCCTCCCATGAATCCCAGACCTGCGCTCACTTATATGAAGCACGCAACCGTGTGAACGACTCCCTGGAGACGAGGCACGTGATTGGCCGCTGTTACGTACTCAGCGAAGGGCTGCAAGTGGCCGATGAACTGGATGGTGGCGAGTGGAAATTCTGTCAAGGGCGTGAACAGGGGCACGAACGCTTTGGTTACTGTCAGCAGGGAATAGCCACGGGCTTCACTGCAGATAGGCATTACATCCTCTTTGGGGCACCTGGCACATACAACTGGAAGGGTAAGCCTTTGCTTTCAACAAAGAATATTATTAAGTCAGGTAGTCCCGACCCACATCTTGGCAGGCAGCTCAATCATACCGTACCCCCCCCCCCTTTTGAGCTGCAGATATTTCCCCCCCCCCCCAAACAAATAGGATGGCTGTGGGTACCATTCATGCCCTTATCAATTGGTACCCAAATCTGGGAATATGCCCTCCTAAGTGACTTATAGGAAGCCCATGGAGGAGGGGGGCAGTGTCTGTATTTTCTATACTGAATGGCACTGGATGGGTGTATCTCCTGCAGGGATTGTGTGGAGGGTTTTCAAATCTAAGGCATTGCCTCTGAAGGATCAGACCTTCCCAACATGACCAGTATATGCAGGAGTATTCTGCTGTGCCAGAAAGAGCAGATCATGGCCCCAATCACTACAGCACAGCACAGCACAGCACAGCTGCTGCAAAGACAAAGCTAAATCCCAGGATCTTTCATGGAACCAATGGGCTTGTGGCAAGCAAATCTAAGCTCCTAGGAAATGCTCATTGTGTCTTCGGCTCTTTGCCCCCAGCATTATTCTAGAGGGCTCATTTTAAACCTCTGCCCAGATCCTCCCTGTAAATTTGTGACAAGCGGTTGCCTCTTCCATCACCCACTACAGAAGGACAAATCAGAACAACACTCTTGCTTCCCTACTATCCTGCAAGACTGGCCATTTTCTCCAATGTCTCCCTCACTCTGCCCATCATTAACAGGTGTTTGGTTTGGCAGGGACCATACGGGTAGAGCTGAGTGTCTTGGATTTCAGTCACTACGACGATGGGCCGTATGAAGCCGGGGGAGAAAAGGACCAGGATCCCTCGCTCATCCCCTTGCCAGCTCACAGCTACTTCGGTACGGGGTTGTGCCCAGCAGGCCAAACACTACAGAGCAATCAGACAGGCCATAACAGGGCAGGGTGTTTGGGGGGGGGGGCGCGGGGGGATGGGAAGCAAAAAAATTCACCCGGGGAGAACTAAAGACTGGCCAATAAACATCATGCCAAACTCAGTTTTGATTGGAAGAATAAATTTCACTTGTAACAAGCATGCTATCTCGTTCTTTGGACCCGGGCAGTCCCATCCCTGGGAAGCAGAATTGTTTGATCAGCAACAATAATGTGCCCTGGGTCATAACTGGGGGCCAACCAGACGACAGTGTGCGAGCACAACCCAAGCCCTGGAAGTCTCCTGCCCGATGCTCTGTGGTGTTTCTCTGCCTGGGCGCTGAACTTTCTCATACCGCTAACCATCTCTCTCTCTCCTCTCTCTCTCTCTCTCCTTCCATTGGCCTTGCAGGGATATTGTTTGTGACAAACATTGATAGCTCAGACCCTGATCAGTTGGTCTATAAAACGCCAGATACCAGCGAACGGGTCCCCGGGACTGTTGGAGACGTAGCCCAGAATAGCTACTTAGGTTTGTAAGGTGTTGGTGTGCCCGTCTCCGTGATTTCTGCCCCTTCCTCCCCACTATTATTTTTAGCTAGTGTCTGTTGTTCTCCCCTTCTGTTGTGTTTTGTCGTTTCCACCTTCTCTGCCTCCCCCAAATACATGGCAATCGAATTCTCAAGTCCTGCTACTTTCAACCAGCAGAGGGTGTCAGTCCCAGCTCCTGCTGCAGCTCTGACTGTAAAAGAACAGGAATCTTTATCGTGGTTTTTTTTTTAAACAGGCTGCTATAACAGGGAGCCTATGGCTAAGGATAGTGGATCTGGGAAAAGCAGTTCAGTAAATAGTTTAATAATGACTAATCAGCTTTCCCAGTGCAGCCTGTTTCGATAGGGATTGTCACCACTAATAGGGGCATCAAGAATATCACAGTTACAAAAATGGAAGGTTTTTTTTTGCTTTTTAAATGTTGGAAAAGAGTTGGTAGAGAAATGCCACATTATTTTGGTCTGCTTCCAAAGGCTATATTGGATATTATCTGGAGTTTAAGAAGCATAAACCTCTAGGCTCAAAATACGTTATGATACGTAATCTCCATCTGCATGCTTCCATTGTATGTCGCAGTCATGTGCTTTAGTTTGAACTACGTCAGAGCATTTGACATTGTGTGTGTAAATGTGTGTGAGAGCTGTGAAAGGCAGGAATGTGACCAGGTGTGTGTGTCTGTATGGGGGGGGGGAGGGGAAGAATGTAATCAGGAGCATTCATGGAGGAGTAAAAAAAAAAAATCAAGACTATATGAAGACCCACTCCTTTTTTACATGTGCCATATATGTACTGCATGTACAAAAAGGCCAGAGATTAATTCTCATAGTTGTGGCTACCATCTTGACTTTTTTGACACCTCCTGTTCACCCTATGGACTTTCCTGGATGCAATCCTCTGGAAGATGCAGTCTTTCCAGCCTGAAAATTTTCAGATGCTATGGACCCCATCTTTCAGCCGACATACCTGAGAGTCATCAAGATGGAGAATCATGGCAGCAAGCTCTGAAAGGATGGACAAAATCTATGTAGGCAGATGGAACATGGGCACAGTGGTTCCGCCCTCCTGACATTACCATTAACGCCCAGACAGATCAGAGTGAAAACATCTCATCTGTCTGGTGTAGCTGCCATACCAGTGGGACTGTTGCGACTGCATCTTGACTCAGTGAGAAGTCTTTGCAGGATTGTGGTCTGCTAATCAGTTGGTCCTGACTCCAGTTGAACTGCCAGGTGGGGCTATTTCGGGACATGATGTGTCAGGCATGAACAACCAGAACCACAAGTGCAGAGTTCAGTCTAACTACTTTATTATATTCTACCAATAATGCCTATAACTGCAGTGGCTCAGCGCTTAAGATGCTGGGCTTGTCATCTGGAAAGCCAGCAGCCCAGGTTTGAGACCTGAGCATCACGCGATGGGATGAGCTTTTGTCCTAGCTTTAGCTCCTGCTAATTTAGTAGTTTGAAAGCATGCAAATGCAAGTAGGTAAATAGGTACCACTTTGGAGAGAAGGTAACAGCGCTCTGTGATGTCATGTAGGCCACATGACTGCAGAAATGTCTTCAGATAGCGTTGGCTCAATGACCCTGAAACAGATTAGCACTGCCCCCTATAGTCACAAGGACTAATGGAGTAAAATGGAGATTTCTTTACCTTTACCTTTTTACTTACTGTATATTAGAAGAACCTCTCCAGACTGGTAGCTCTCCCTTGGGAACAATTCAATAAGACTCCAAGGAACTTGGGGTGTGGGGAGGTCAATCCTAACCCTTTTACGGTTGCACAGAGACTCCAGGCTAAATCCGTGCTTGATCCCTCCTCCCTGTCAGGCTGGGTTCTTCTCGACTGATGTAAAGAAGGTTGGCAATTCTGGATGATTAGTTCTTGAACCCAGAACTGGCTGTGACTCTAGTGGTGGTTTGGATGGTATTCCTCCTACAGGTCTATATACAGATATTCAGGATGCTCTTTGGCTTCATATTGATGCTGGAGATGCATGCGATGCCAGTGACTAGAAGCACCAGGGCACAGGTTTAGCTGTAAATCATCTCTGGCTGTTTCCAGATGGAGCTAATCTGATTTTAGCAGTGCACCTGCTGCTCCCAAGTTGGATGACTGTAATGTTATCTATGTGACAGTCCTTATTAGTTGATGCAGAGCACTGATGGGCAGCAGGGGAGCTTGGAAATGGGTGCAGGTGACTCGGTACTGATTGAGTACTGGTCCCAATTTTTAATGTGCTAATGCTATTTATCATTGGAGCATGTGGGTCGTACTCTATACCAGAACCAATCCTTTGGAAAAAATATCCAAGGGGGCTGAATCTGTTTTTTTTTTGTTTTTTTCTTTTAGAAAACGGCTAAAGACCTACATACGTTCTTGCTGTATTTTTGGAGTGTATTTTTATACGCTTTATATAAAATGCCTCTTTGTTACCCTTGGCAGCCCTGAGACTTGAGTGGCCTTGTCCAAGTTGATATATAAATTTCTACATTTTTGATAACAGTATTTAAGGCGGCCTTAGCACGGATACTTTAATGCCGTTTAATTTGTGATTTTATTGTTGGAAACTAACCTGAGTGCTGTGAAGTGGTATGACAAAATGTGAATAAATAAGAAAGATGAATTTTTATTTGGAACCAAACAAAATAGGTGGCCAAGTGCCTCATTAAGATGTCTTGTCTGCTTAAGAGAGAAAAACATTAATTTACACCAGAACAGCTAGTGATCAGTGTTTAAGTTGAGGTGTTTATTTATTTGATTTTCCTCCTGCCTTTCTTTCGGGAACTCAAATGGGCATTCATAGTGGCCCCCTCCCCTATTTTCCCCATTAATAACAACCCTGTAAGGTAGGTTGGATAGAGAGTGACAGGTTTTGAATCATAAAGAAAACTCTGGTGGCTGGATGGGGAGAACGACTAGAATGAGAGGCAGCTTGGTCTAGTAGTTAAGGCGCCCCAAGCTAAAAATTAGGGGACTGTAAGTTCCAGTCTCACTTTAGGCATGAAAGACAGATGGGTTAATTTGGACCAATCATTTTCTCTCAGCCCAACTCACCTCACAGAGGGGTTGTTGTGGGGAAAATAGGATGAAGAAGCATTAGGTATGTTCTCTGCTTTGAGTTATTTATAAAAACAAAGGCAGGTTAAAAAATAAAATAAAATAAAAACCTCGGTCTCTATCATTCCTATTCCAAGGGACTAGGGCAGGAAGAAAAGTTTTCTAGGGCATATTTGTTCTGTGATAGTTTAGGAGCAAATGGAGCTAAGATTTTGAGACAGTCTACCTGCTGATCTAGCAGAAACTGATATGAACAGCAGCTACTGATCTAGTAAAATTGGAATTTGCTAATTTTGATCAGCATTCCACCTGCTTTGCAACTAAAGGCATTTTAAATATTTTTTGAAACTGAAGTCTATGGTGGTCTGATTTAGGTTGGAACTGCCAAAGCAAAGAAAAGGACCCATTTTCTGTCTCCCTTTTGCTCCGTATCCACTATAGAGAGATGCAAATGAGAAAATGACCAAGTAACATCATCAGTGATAGAAGACAAACCCAGCTCTCTTCTAGCACTGAGGTTGTTACCTTGCTGGTCAGTGAAACATCTGTAAGAAAACAATCAAGCTTAGAGAGCACCAAAGACTACAAATATTCTCTTCTATTGGTAACATGTTTTGCTATATTTTGAATAAAGTCACCAATTTAGTATGACCATTTCTCCCTCATCCCACTCTCTCAATCACGGGGAAATATTACATAATATTCTGTTGTTGGGATCATCTTCTGATAAAGTAGACCATAGGCCCCAAATTTTATGCTACAACAAAATTCCTGGACTTTTAAGTTGCCACAAGATCATGCTACTGTATTCCATTTCCAGATGAACCGCAGGCACTTTCCTGGGAATGAGCTGAAAAGACAAATTTCTCTCAGTTTCTAGAATAGAAAACTCGGTCTTCTGGGAGATTACCAGGGCGTGTATTTCAAGGAGCCCTTGCATTCCTGATCAAGAGCTGTTATTCAAGCCAAAAACGCTCTCAGTCCCTTGGGAGCGGGAAATGACAACAAAAAATGGCCAAGAGAGACTCTAATCAGACTGCAGAGCCTATAAAGTTTGCCTGCCGTTTTCAGAATGGAATGTTTTTTGTCTTAAAAGAGGTTTCCCTCTCTAAATTCTCCTCTTCCTTGGCCTCTGTAGCATCAGTAAAAGCAACTTCTTCTTCTTTCCTTCTTGGTCCTTAAGATGTTGTGTTTCCTGCTGTTCTATTATTGATTTCCCGCCTCTTCCCAAACAGTCTTTATATATTCTGGCATGCTTGGTGGGAAGGGAGACAAAACTAGGGAAATGAAGTGACCGTTTTCCTTAATGTAGCTCCCAAAGAGGAAGAACAGTACCCTTCACCAATCTTATTACTGTGGTGTAATAGGGGAGCAGCACTGTTGGCACTGATATATTTTTCTGCTGGCGGATAACAGTTTAATTCAGCCACCAGGAAAAGCCATGTGCCACAAAGGATAAAGGAAAATAGTTGTAAAGCAGAAGAGGCATCTTCCATTCTACAGTGAGTTCCACTGTATAGAGTAACTTTAAATTGCCATTTTGTGCAACACCGAAGCTTAGGTTCTAAAACCAAATCTAAAGATTGGTTTTTTTAAAAAAAGATGATTCAAAGACCTCAGGTATGATTTTGGTGGCTTTCCTTCTCCGAACAATTCAGGAACAAGAATGTCAACCAGTTGAAAGTAGGTCTTGTGATGTTTATGAGTGGTGTATGCCCGTGAGCATGACGGTGTGTGCATGTTTGTGCATTGACATATTAAGTCTAGAACTGGTATTGGTACCAATATTGAGAGCTCATGAACTGATAGCTTGTCTTATAAGTTTTGGAATGAAAATTCTGGAAATATGGTGTTAATGCCCGGTAACACCTCTTTCTCAAATGACAAAGTACCCCTTCCTCCATTTCCAGGTTTTTCTATAGACTCTGGAGTAGGGATAACCAAGAAGAATGAGCTGAGCTTTGTAACGGGGGCACCCCGAGCAAATCATATTGGATCCGTGGTGATCCTGCATCAAGACAACTTTAACCGCTTAGTGCCTGATGTTATCCTCTCAGGGGAGAAACTGGCTTCGTCCTTTGGCTACTCTCTGGCTGTAGTAGATCTCAATCATGACGGGTAAGTAATGTGGGAGGAAGAGAGCGTTATGTGCAAAAGGCTTTTTGCTCCATGCTCTGTTTGACGTTCTACTCTGGTCACACAATGGATGGTCCATTGCCTTGTCTAACCCAAATACACAAGAATACACAGTGGGACACTGTTGGACCAGGGCTTGAAAAGCCATCGGAGGAAAAGAGCAAGAAGTGAGCAACACTTACATATTGTTTCTTTTAGATGGATGGACTTGGTGGTTGGAGCACCAAACTTCTTTGATAGAAAGGAACGAATCGGGGGTGCCGTCTACATTTACATCAACCAGGCAGGGCGCTGGGAGAACATCCTCCCCATTCGCCTCAATGGCACCTCTGACTCCCTGTTTGGCATCACAGTGGGTGCCATTGGGGATCTCAATCAAGATGGCTTTCAAGGTGAGATTCTTGAACCTCTTGTGGGAAAGATGGGCATGAACGCTTCGGTTGGTTCCACATGTGCTACCCGTGAATTTGAGTTAAGGTTAGGGGGAATTCTGGGGGGCCAAACAAAATATGCATGCTTGGAAGCAAGCCTCTGAGGATCTGGGGGACAAAATTTCAAAGCCTGTGCGTAGGACAGTATTGAGTGACTCTTGGAATAGAAAGAGAACCATTAGAGAAGTACACAGGTATGAGAAGAGAAAATAGAAGAGAGACAATATCTGTCTTACAAGTTCCAGTGCAAGCTAGCAATATAATTACAATTGCTATGGGGGTGCGGTTCTTATTTCTCTCTGCCCCAATTTCCTTCTTTCCAGATTTTGCAGTTGGGGCACCACTGGATGGTGATGGGAAAGTCTATATCTATCATGGCAGTAACTTGGGAATTGTGACAAAACCTGCTCAGGTCAGTAGCCTTTCCAGTTAATTAAATGATTGAGAAATACTACATCTTTATGATCTGCCTTGGCTCTACATAGATAGAAAATGAGGAAAACTATCTTGATAATAACGTGGAGGAACCATTGCCTAAGACAGCGGTTCTCAACAGGGAATTAGGGCCCTCATAGGGGTCTTAGAATATTTCAGGAGGGCCACTGGTGAAAAACATACAATGCAGTCTCAGCATGTGCCAAGAGGGACACAGAAAAACTATGACTGCATTATTAAATATTGTCTTCTTGATATCAGAAAATGCACCAGTTACTGGTCATGCGATCTGGAAAGGGAGCCACAGAAGAAAAACAAGGTCAAAAGTGGGGCATGGATAAAAAAAGGCCAAAAAAAAAAAAAGTGGAAGCATTTTTAAAGTCCAAAGCAACAAGGTAATGTTTAGAAGCAGCTTTCGCAGATATGTCCCTAATCCATTGGATCATAAGAAAGGGGAGGAGGTACAGTACAGCCAGATTTGCCAGACCCTGTTATTATAGCTACTATCAATAAAAGTCATTTAAGCCTTCCTGGGGTGATGATTTCTTAGTCTACTCTAATTTATCTAGTGGGGCTGACAACAAACATTCCCTTCCCTCTGTTTATCATCATTACGCTCGGTAATGGCGGCGCCCAACTAGGAAGGTGAGGCTCTCGCTCCTGGAGCACTATCTCCCTATAAAGCCACCACCTGCACCAGAAATCACTTTTAAAGCTGCCGCCTGAACCAATAACCATGAGTAAACCAGAGCCCAAAAAACAAGCCCCAAAACGCTAGATTCTGAAGCCGTGGAGCCCTAATAATGCTGGCGGAGCTCCTGCTAACTGATCCGGAGTCTTCCTCTCCTTCCCCAGAGAAGTGAAGCTCTTTCCATCGAGCCCTATTAACCACACTGGTGGAGCTCTTGAACTGGATCACTTGGAGCCAGCGGAGTGCAAACAGCGTACCTTCATTTAAATCCCTCACACAGCTGATAGAAGTATCTTCCACGCCAGACAACCGTGTTTCCATTAATATCCCACACACAGTTTCCCTGGAGCCACATCGGACAGCTGGCAGGGAGAAACAAGGAGGGAGGAGAAAGCCCTGAGGCTCTTAGGAGCCGAAAGTCACCCTGGACGGGTGGTAAAGGCAGAGGAATGCTTCGGTGGTCGCGAGGAGAGGAGAGTCTCCTCAACTGACCCGAAGAAAACCCCTCCATCCGAACTAAAAAGAGAACTGCCAGCATGGCTAAATAGAAGCCAGGAAGGCAGCTGAGACAGAAGTGAAAAAGAAAGGAAAGATCTTGTATCAGCGTGCTTAGTCTTGGTAAGAATCACTCCAATTTCTGCAGTGGAATTTTCCTTGGAAAGTGGGACTCAAAGGAGGAAAATAGCTGCGATTAATGATCTGGAGTGACTGTCAAATTTTGTTAAAAAAAAAAAGATATTGCAACTAGAAGTAACTTTAAAAGTAAAGGACAGATTGGATTGGTTACTACTACTCAACTTGAAGAACTTTAGGAAACTATTGGAAAACAATCTTATTCAGAGACATATTGATTGTAGTTAAAGTGTTTTAATTCAGCGAGTTTTGCTCTCTTTCAAAAATCCAGCGTGCTTTTAACATCTTGTTACAGCCTATTGTTTACAGAGTAATAGCAGCAGCAATCAGAGCAATAAATTCCTCCCACCCAGTAAATCACAGCTGCTAGTAAAACAATTAACCCTTTCCTTGCAGACTCTCAATACTACCTCATTACTTTAATCAAACACTCATTAATTCATTACCTCAAAACTTACAACTTTTCTACTTCATCACCTATATCAATGATTAGATAATCAATTTCTATAAAATATTTTATTAATGGTTTAATTTATTTATTGTTTTAATTGATTAGTATGATTAGAGTGTTTAGTGCAAATAGCGTGATTACTGATTAGTTTAAAAGATCAAGATTCTGTAATTTAATTGATTAGTAAAATCAGTGATTTAGTGAATTTAATTGAACAGTGTGATTAATGATTAGTGTAATTAATTGATTAGTGATTAGTGTAATTAATTGATTAGGCTGATTGTTGCTTAGGAAAATTATTTGACTAGAGAGATTACTGCAATTGATTGATTGGTGTGATATTGGCTATATTGATTACCCAAAATTGTTCCATTAATTAATTTAATCAACGTACCATCTTAAAAAACCTACCATGCCAAGAAAAAAAATCCAGTGCCAAACCACAACCTAAAGAGAAAGTAATCCCCACCAATGAACCACAAGACTCCTGCACATGCCTTAAATGCTACAAAACTCTAAAGGATAGTGAAAACTCCATCAAATGTTCTCTATGTAACAAATACGCTCATCATGACTGCTTGGGGATTACCCGAGCAAATGATTCAATACCTAGAATCATGCAATGAGTTTCCATATCTCTGCAAATCATGCAGACCCAAACTGGATCTGTTGGAAAGAGTTGATACCATTGAAACACGAATAACATCCCTTGACACCAGTAGCATCCCTGGACGTCTTAAAAGAAAGATTATCCAACCTTGAAAAAAAAGACACAATGCAAAAACTTGAACATCCAATAGCTACAAACCACATCTCTACCCAACAACCACAACCCAATCCACAACCCAATCCACAAAAAAACATAAGCCAGACAAATATTGATATCCCAATCCTCATCAGAGAAGCTGTTGAGCGTGAACGGAAACATCCAAACGCCATCTTATTTGGTCTAGAGGACATCAATGATAATGATGACATCACAACTGTCCGAAACATCATCAGTGATTATCAAGCATCAACCATCTCCCCTGATGAAATACTTGACATTTCCCGCATTGGCCGAGAGCTCAAAAACAGAGACGGCTCTGTGGTCCCACGCTTCTGCAGGGTTATTTGCGAAAATGAATCAAGCAAACGTAAATTCATTTACACTATAAATTCACTCGCCAAAACCAACACCAACCATAAGAACCTCCGTTGTTGCCCTGACCTAACCATACAGCAATGTGCCCTCTCCCGTGTACTCCGCACTGAACTCAAAAAATGTCTAGACAATGGAGAGAAGGACCTGTACATTGACTACCATGCTGACTGTATCAAAAGTAAGTCACACAACCCACAACTCAGCTTTAACCCTCAACCACAACCCTACCTCAACCAATCCACCATCACCCAAGACTAGGCAGGCACGCCCCTAACTACCTCAATTCCAACTACTGCTGGCCTTAAATGCAACCTACTCAATGCAAGAAGCCTTGCGAATAAAATACCTGAATTTTTCCTCTTACTAAATATGGCTAAATTCGACATCATATTTGTCTGTGAAACATAGCTCAACGCATCTCTCCCTGACTCCCATTACCACAGTAAGAGACTATCATGTTTACCGATCAGATCGTGAAATTCGTAGAGGAGGTGGTGTTGCTATCTTCTATAAAAAGTCCTTACATCTAAAAAATATCCAAGTTACCCAGGAGCTTGCTCTTCCTGAGACCATCATCTGTGAACTATCCTTAAATATCACATTTCGATTCTTACTATGTTACAGAGCACCTGATTATGACATTGAACATGTAAACAAGCTAAATACACTATTAACATGGGCAGCATCCTGCCTATATGCTTTTATCTTTCTTGGTGATTTCAATCTACCTCATATTGACTGGACCCTAAATGAATGTACAACTGAAACCATACACGCAACCTTCTACAACGCTGTTACAAATCTGGGACTGGAACAACTAGTAACCAACAACACTAGACTAAACAACTGCCTCGATCTCATCTTCTGCAATAGTTTGAATTTAATTTACGGAATACAAACTAAAGAACCCTTTTCCAGCAGTGACCACAATATGATTGACTTTTGTCTCAACATACGCCCACACAAAAATCATCACAATGACGTAATCCCCAATTATAACTTCAAAAAAGGCAACTATGATCTTATAGACAACGATCTCTCATCCCTTGATTGGCAATCTCTATTCACTGGATGCAATACTGTTGAAGACCATTACAACATATTTTTACTTGAAGTCAAAAGAGTCATCAAACTATATGTACCAACAACAACTCCCAAAACAAAAACAAAAAAACAGATTACCCATAACAATAAGGAAACTTCAATCCAAAAAGAGATCACTCTGGTGGAAAAACAAATCTGGTCACGTTGCCAATTTCAAAAGCCGATACAAAAATTTATGCCACCAGATAAAGACTGAATGCACCAAATATCACATTAAACAAGAGGAAAACCTTCTATGCACCAATTCCACCCGCGTTTTTTACAATTTTGTAAACAACAAACTAAAAGACTCAAGGTCCATCCCACCTCTGATAGGACCTAATGGTAAAGACTGCAACGACGACACCATTAAAGCCAACATCTTTAACACATTCTTCAGCTCAGTATTTGTAAACAGCAATGGATCATGCCCAGTATTTCCTAGCCGAACCACAGATAACTACAATGATCTAATACATATCGATTTTACAGAAGACAATGTTGAAAAAGCACTACGCAATCTAAAACCATCTCTATCTATTGGACTGGATGGAATATGTGCCTACTTCTTTAAAAAGCTATCCACTGCCATAGCCGAACCTCTAAGCATAATCTTTGAAAAATCTTTCAGGACCAGCTCCTTGCCTAACCTATGATCACAAGCCACAGTCATCCCCATCTTCAAAAAGGGAGACCCCAGCCTAGTTGAAAATTACAGACCAATCTCCTTATGCTGCATCACCTGTAAAGTCATGGAATCAATTATTAACCAATCCATCATCCTCCACTTAGAGACAAACAACCTACTCTCCAATAAACAATTTGGTTTCAGGAAAAAACTATCATGTAATCTGCAACTCTTACACTGCAAAAACATATGGACGACACAACTCGATCAGAGCAAAGCAATAGACGCAATCTACATAGACTTCTGTAAAGCCTTTGATTCAGTGGTACACGACAAACTACTCCTAAAAATAAAATCTTATGGTATCTCTGGACAACTGCATAACTGGATAGAAGCATTCCTGTCAAACAGACAACAAATGGTCAAAATTGGGAGTGTCCTATCAAATTCTGTACCTGTCAATAGTGGTGTCCCCCAAAGCAGTGTTCTAGGATCAACTCTCTTCATACTCTACATAAATGACCTCTGTGATCATATTAAGAGCAACTGCGTTCTTTTTGCTGATGATGTAAAGCTGTTCAATACCACAGACAATACTGCTACCCTTCAAAAAGATCTTGACTATGTATCAGAATGGTCAAACAAATGGCAACTTCAAATCTCAACAAATAAATGCTCTGTCTTACATATTGGCAAAAAAAATCAGAAAATAAAATACAAGCTGAATAGTCAAGATCTTGTTGATGATCCAAGCTCTGTAAAGGACCTTGGAATACTCATCTCTAATGATCTAAGTGCTAGAGCCCACTGTAACTACATAGCCAAAAAGGCATTAAAAGTTGTTAACCTAATCCTACGTAGCTTTTTCTCTGGTAATACCACACTACTAACTAGAGCATACAAAACATTTGCTAGACCAATACTCGAATGCAGCTCATCAGTCTGCAACCCACATTACGTATCTGATATTAGCACAGTTGAGAAAGTCCAGAAATATTTCACAAGAAGAGTTCTCCACTCCTCTACTCGTTGTAGAATACCTTATGCCACCAGACTTGAAATTCTAGAACTAGAAAACCTTGAATTACGCTGTCTTCGGTCTGATCTAAGTATGGTATATAAAATCATACATTGCAATGTCCTACCTGTAAATGAATACTTCAGCTTCAACCATAACAACACAAGAGCACACAATAGATACAAACTCAAGGTTAACCGCACCAAACTTGATTGCAGGAAATACGACTTCAGCAACAGAGCGGTCAATGTCTGGAATACTCTACCTGACTCTGTAATTTCTTCCCCAAACCCCAAAAACTTTAATCTTAGACTGTCTACTATTGACCTCACCCCTTTCCTAAGAGGTCTGTAGGGGGCGTGCATAAGCGCACCAACGTTCCTACCGTCCCTGTCCTATTGTTTCTTTTATTTTTCTTATATGTACCCATTTCATGTATTCATAACTATGTATATACTTATACTTATTATCTTGTAAGCAATTGACAAATCAAATAAATAAATAAATAAATTACTTTCTTCTGATTACTATACCTTTGATCTCTGTAGATCCTGACTGGGGAGAGTGTTGGCATCAAGATGTTTGGCTATTCCTTTTCTGGAGGGCTGGATATTGATGACAACTTTTATCCAGATCTCCTAGTGGGCTCACTGTCTGACACAGTAGTATTGTACAGGTAAACCTGGAGGTGTGTGTGTGGGGGAAAGTAGGGAAGTGATCTTCAATAATCAAATTGCTTAAAGGAAAGCTCATTTGGTGACTTTGGGCCTACAAACAAGGAGGGTCTTGTGGAGAAAAAACAGGAGGATGGAACAGTGTGAGCTCCTATACAATAAGCAGGATAGAAATGCCCTCTGAGCACAAGAAGGAGATGGGGTTTGGGAATTCCACCATAAATTATGATTACATCTGTATATAACCTATATGACTGTCATCTCTTAACTGTTATGGTTACAGCTGGAAATAGATTTGAGGAAAACACGACAAGGACATAAAGGACCATATTGTATTTCTGCCATAAGTGTGAGAACGTTTCCATCCCATTTGGATGTTTAGTTAGTTGAGCATTGACAAATGCTGTCAGAATGTGCATAAGCACACAATCGTGCCTACCGTCCCTGTCCTATTGTCCCCAATTATTAGTTCCTGTTTCATGTATTTAAACTTACGTTTATTCTTATTCCTATCATATTGTAAGCGTTTGACAAAATAAATAAATAAAAATAAAATAAATAAAAATCTCACCTGTATTTAACATTTTGGGCTCCAGTGAGCCTCACTGTCTGCAGACAGCTCAGTTTCTTACTACTATCCAATGTATTTTTTAGATCTCGACCTGTCGTCCATATCTCCAGAAATATCACTGCCAACCCCCAAAATGTCGACCTGGAGAATATTATCTGCCGCTATATGGAGGGCATCTGGTGAGGACAATCTCCTCTTCCTTGGTTGTATCGCCTCGCTTCTGCAACCCTTGCTACTCCTTTTCTTTGCAAACACCGAGCAGATGTTTCCTGAATATGCCTGTAGCTATGGTGCTTTTTCAAAGAATATTCCATGACAGTGGTTCTCAACCTTTTCTTCACAATGGACCCCCTGTAAATACCTTTTGTAGCCATAGACCAGGGGTGTCAAACTTGATTTCATTGAGGGCCGCATCAGGGTTGTGTTTGACCTGGGTGTGTGTGTGTGTGTGGCCAACTTGAAGTCACTCGTGTTGGGGCACCTGTGCTGGCCTGAGCGCTCTGTTTTCGGCTGGGATGGTCTCCTGCAACCCTCTGCCAGCGAAAACAGAACTTGGGAGGGTTGCACACGGCCCTTCTGAGCTCCGTTTTCACTGGGAGAGGCAATGCGGGCCGTTCTTCACTGTTTCTAGGGCGTCCCTGTGGGCCAGATGTAGGATCTGGCCCACAGGCTTTGAGTTTGACACCCCTGCCATATACCATGGCCATGGGCCCCCCAAGACTTTACTTAAGATTTAAATCATAACATTTCTTCACGTCTTCGTGGACCACAAGTTGAGAACCCCTGTTCTATGATAAGAAAATGATCTATGATGTTTTTCTGGGCCTGTTCATTACAATCCCAGGAAAAAAACAGACTTGATACGCCTTCAGATGTAACACGCATGCACCCTTTGCATGTTTCAAACCATCTTTGAGCTTAGTTGCTGCATAGCCCAGGCTAGTAATCTTCCAATGCTGAATGAGCATTTTTAGGAGTGTGTTGCTCTATTGTGTGCTTTGTGATTGGGAAGCAGTGCAGAAAACAGGAGAATAAAATTTGTAAATTCTTGCCCTGGAGTAAAACCAGAACGTCATCATGAGAACCAAAAGATTGAATTGGAGTTGCCGGGCCATTGTGATGGTGCTGTAAATAATTAGTTTTTAAAAGGCCAGGGCCTACTTTCCTTCTTTCTTTCTGCTTTCTTTAGCAGTGTGGAAATACAAGCCTGTTTCATCTATACAGCCAAACCTTCAAGCTATAACCCACCCATCAGTGAGTATTGTCTGGAACTTTCCAAGTTTCTTGGCTTTTCGATATCCTTATAGTCTTGGTTTTGTGTCACTGTTTCAACACCTAAATCATAACAGTGTTAGAGAATTAGCCCCATTGTAGCTAGTGCACTATATCCTATGGCCTGTGTAGTAGATCAGTCTCTTAAAATTGGGCCAGGGAATCCTGTTCAAGGCTTCAACAAAATAAATGTGGACACCACTAGAAATAACTTTTGGTCTCTTCTCTTTCACCTTTTCCTCGACCTCTCCTTCTTCCCCTAGGACTTGAATACAGTTTTGAGGCTGATGGTGACCGTCGGCAACAAGGAAAAACTTCTAGAGTCTTTTTCCGATATCAACAGGCCAAAGACCTTGAGCATCAGTACTCTGGGATACTGGAGCTGCCCAAACAACAATCAAAGGTCTGCACAAAGGCCATCATGCAGCTAAAGGTGAGGGTCATAGCCGATCTTGCTGGGTCTCTAAGTTCTTGATTTCCATAAGCCACCTAAAAATAGGTGACCTTAAGCAATGTAAATACCTAAGTAGATGTCCTTGGTTTGTTCTAAATGAGCCATAAAAGAAGCTGGCTTAACATGTGATCCAGGATGACAAGATCCAGGATGCTATTCTAGGGTGACATAAGCAGTTCCCCATTTTGCCTTTTGTTGTTGGTGCAACAACTTGGAAATAGAAAGATGGAAGGTGGATAGTTTACCCCAGGCAGCTACACAGACCCTGCCACCATGTTATTTGAAGCTTCTCTGAAATCACCATGAGCTGAACTTGAAAAAGAGACAAGTATGCCAGGAGGGTGCTTGGGGTAGATTTTGGGTAACAATATATTGTCATAAAATTCCTTGAGTGAACAAGATCTTTGTTCTAACAACAGAGGATTTTCTATCCTTGGCTCTTCTGTGTAGGTGGGAGGGAAGGCTTGATTTATTTCAGGCTCCCTTTTTGAATGTTTAATTTCCATTTATAAAATATGGCCTGCATCCAGGGTTATGTCAGTGAATCTTTACTCACACAATGGTATTTCCTCTTTCTCGGTAGATCTTCTCAAGCCTCCAAAGCAAATTAAAGGGTGGGGGTGGAGAGCAAGAGTCCTTTGTCCACAAACATACTGTTGGACCTAGCCTCTGTTTCACGATTTTTCACTTAGTTAATTCCTTTTAAAAGGCCTTCATTAGGAAGCTGTTTTATTCTGATCTTCCCGTGTTATGTCTGAGAAGTCCAGCGTAATGACTACTTTAAAAATTCCTGGCCCAGTTTTTAGCATCCAAACAATAGACTAACCTGTAAGACCCATCTGCATTTAGGTTTTACCATATTGTGCCGATTCTTACAATTCCCCCATCCAATTAAGCTTTTCCACCCTAACATTTCTAACAGCCTGTTATTAACCACCACATCCTGCCTGAAATATTGGCTATGAATTCACAGCTGTGGCCTTTTGTCACCATGGCACTCAAAGGAACTGAGTAACAGGGGCAGAAATTTAAGGCATGCAGAATTTGTCATAAAATATTCCAAGACGGAAGCAGACCATTCCTCCTGGAATAGGCCATTCCAAGTCTTCCAGAAGAGCAGCTCAGAAAAGGAATCTGTTCTGAATGTTATTCTAAGGAACCCTTACATTAGAAGGACTCCCATTTCCAGATCGGACCAGTTCAAACTCACTTTTGGCTTTTGACTATACTACAATAAACATTTTGAGAGTTGCATTCCAAAATTGTTTTAGGGAGGCAACGTATATTGTGATTGTCATTATTATAGGAGCAAGTCCGGGACAAGCTCCATCCCATTGCTGTGATGATGACCTACAACATCAAGCATGGCCGCAGCAGACGGCAGATCCCAGGGGCTGCCCTGAGGCCTCTCTTGCCGGTACTGAATGCCGTGCCACACAACTCTCAGAGGATTGAGGTAGGCAAGCATCCGAAGACAAGGTTATGTGAAGGAGAAGTTCCCTCCCCCCCCCTTGTTCACTGGTTAACTAGGAGAGAAAGCAGGCTCTATTAATCATTGCTATTACTGTTTCGGAATCCCTTTGTTATGAGGTTGAATAAACAGTTGAGGATAAGGAGTCAAATAAGAAAAAGCTGTGGCTGGTCCTGGTTTTTGTATATAGAGTTATGGATCTATTTGCATGCCACATTCTTCCAAAGCAGCGTGCAATGCATGAAGCCCATAAAAGTTGCTGATAATGTCATAAGCTACTGAAGGCTTTAAAAAATGTAGCATGAAATTGCAATATCCCACCCCACCCCATCTCGGGCAAACTGCAGGAACATTTAAACACAAATTATGTGTTTCAATTAATTATGCATTTTATTATAGGTGCCCTAGGGTTTCTGGGGGGAAAGGGGATGATTCAAGCCTGTTTAAAGACAAGAATTTCTCTTGCTGTTCAATGCGCCTTTTGCTATTTTTATATGTATTATATATTACTGCTTAGTTGGGCGATGATGTGGCTGTGTTTAAAGAATAACAAAAAGTCAGTTAGTCACAGCTTGCTAAATTTTATCGCCGCTTTCTAAGGAGATAATCTGCAATAATTGCATCATCTATTCCCTTATTATAATGGTAGCCTCATTTGTATCAATTACAATTGCCATTTTTCCTGTTTGCATGACTCATGACTCATTTAAACATGTTGCTTTTGGGGCCAATATTTGCAGTTTGATGGGGAGGCCCAATAAGTTTGCAATCAGAAGATGCCAGGATCCTTTATAGCATATAGCTAACAAAGACTTCTTAGGAGAACAAAGAAGCAGACTTGTCTACTCACTATGAGTCAGTTTGGAGCTTGAACCCAATCCTTTGCCAAACCTTGCAGAATTCCTCTGGAGTTACTTCTCCTTTATAGCTGTGTTGTTTGACTTTGAAGCCGTGTGTTCCTACAGGTCAATTTCCTCAAGCAAGGGTGTGGGGAGGATAAAATCTGCCAAAGCAACCTGCAGCTGAAATACAAGTTCCACTCTCGTGTTGATGATGCCGTGTTCCAACCTCTACCCAGGTATGAACAAAATCCAAATTCTCATTTGATGTTGTAACAGTGATGTTGTGTCTCGAGATTCTTCTAGGATTCTAGAACTATTAATGTAGCTGATGTACCAAAGAAGAACAGAAATGAATCTCCATTTCCAAGGTGGCTTCACAGTTTCAGCTTTTTTGGAGGTATTGCCCTTAATTAGCTTAGACTATGGAGGAAGGGCCAAAGACCATTTGGGAAAAGAATATCAGGGGTTTTAAGAGGTAAGATGAGTGCGTGAAGGAACTGCAATAAGAAGCCCACATTATGAAGGAGCCCTGGCTGAAGTTGGTATAGGTTAACAAGAGCTAATCCAATTAGGAATTCTCATTTTGACTGTTTCCTAACTTGCCAAAATTACGTTAGATCAACATTTTAATTATCACCTTTGTTTCTTTCCTCCAGAGGTGATGATGGCTTGGACGTTTTTTCTATGAGTGATCAGAAAGGCATAGCCCTTGGAATCTCTATCACCAACTTTCCTTCAGTCGCTGCTGAGCCGCAGCGGGATGGCGATGATGCCCATGAAGCCATGCTGCTTATCTCACTGCCATCTACTTTGACTTATGCTAGCCTGCGGCAGTACAATGCCACGGTACCTTTTGGAAAATGCTGCATGGTGTAGCCCATGGGGAGAGCCAAGGGAAGGGGCGGCCTGAAGGACCGATTGACTGCCAGAAGCCTAATGATGTTGGAGAGATGGCAGCGTCACCTGAGATGGAAAGCCGAGTGGAGTTTAAAAGATGTGATTCTCAAGGGATTGAGTGACACAGTGAAACAGATTGTTAAACACTGTACAGCATCTGGGTTTGGGAATTAGTAGTGCTGTCGGTGGGATTTGAAGAAGGATTCCAGCTGGGCTGGCATGCTGGTACTGGGAGTTACAACACAGAGATGGAATGTATAGCTCTGTGGGGTATGACTAAAGATACTATTGTTAAGCTGCAGAGGCAAGGGGAGAATGCTTCTGGAGACAGGGAAGGGTTGTGCCAGGATAACAGAGACCCATAGAGAGTTGCACAATTATAAAGCCCAGAAGTTATGGGGATGATAGGGCCAATGAGAGTTGCATTGGAATATTCTCAGTTTTAGATAAGTGGATAAAGTAGGATTGCACTTGCATTATTTAAAAAAGCACCGGCAAGAGTGATTTTTGAACAATGGTATCATTCTGATGATAATGTCAGAGAAGTGCCACTGTTTTTTCCTCTGGGGATAGAAGCACTTTCAGGGCTGTATGTATATTCAGGTACAGATTCAGAATATTTAAATGCGTTTTTAGCCTTTATTATTGTTTGAAGAAAAGAGATAATGTATTCTGAAATTCTTGATACTTTCTCTCCCAGATGCATGCACACACTCTCACACAAGAAAAAAAAAAGACAGGCTACATAAGTTCCTAACATTCTGTTGGGTCCAATCTTGGCTATATTTTTCTCAATTCCTTCAAATGCCAGATTTTGGAAGAGTAAGATACATACGTGTTCAGATATGCAAAGGCTGATTGTAGTTGAACCTTTCTTGCTTTTCATAGGAGAAGATCCCAACCTGTGTGTCTAACCAGAATGCTACACGTGTGGAATGTGAGCTTGGCAACCCCATGAAACGTGGAGCACAGGTGAAGGGCAGTTCCTCTTTGTTACTCTCTCTGCAAAAACAGTTTCCTTTACTTCTCTAGAACTTATACTTCCATCCCTGCTTCTTCTCTTCTTTTTACCTCCAGTTTCAGTTCTACCTTGTTCTGAGTACTTCAGGCATTACCTTGGAGACCACAGAACTGGAAGTAAACCTAGAACTGACTACGTAAGTAATTCCTTTCTGGAATCTCTTCCAAAAAACTATTTTGTATCCCAGGACTTAGGAATGTTTCAGTCTTCCTTGCTTATGCAACACTAGCCTGTTTCCTTCAGGGTAATCTCCTTGACTGTATACTACATCATAGCCATGTGATCAAATCAATCCCTAACCCTTTCTTTATGGGCACTGCATGTAAAAAGAAGTGGAGCTTTAGTTGAGTGGTTGTAGTCACAGTCCTGGTATTTTTTACTTCTCTCTGGCTTGTCCCCATTCCCTACACAATTTAACCATGCTAAGGGACTAAGAGACAAATATTCCCAGGCCAAAGCTTGGATTTACTTGAGTTTCATATATTTAGGAGAGCAGAGCTTCTTCAAATCAAGTTTGCATGGGTGTCAGGGAACAAGTTGAATATGAGTGAAAGAAATTGAACTGTCCCCTTGACAAAGACAGGATATGACTTCAATGAACACAAATAAATGCAGGCAATCTTACCCTGCTGAACTCCTGTATTTCCTTCCTCCCAGGATCTCCGAACAGCCTGCGTTGGCCCCAGTGGCAGCTCGAGCCCGTGTGATCATAGAGCTTCCTCTGTCAATTACTGGGTAAAAACAACTTGGGAAGCATTTGTTTTGCCCCAAATAATGAGATCTTTTTTTTTTACCCCCAGATTAAGATACATTGGTAGCTGATACTCTATTCACATGATTCTTAAAAATGACTGAAAGAAGCTACCTTTTTCATTCTGCCAAACAGCCTGGGACTGTGATGATGAACCTTTGGTCAGAAATTCTTAACCTTTGACATTTTCTGAATGTTGAAAATTCAGAAAATGCCTACCTTGATTCTGCTGACGTGTCTCACACCCACACCCACACCCACCCACACGGACAAAAGAGAAACATTTCATAAGAAAGAGTAATAAATGACATTAAATTATTTAAATTTGCCATTGAATAGATCAATAAACAAATACATAGTTCTAAATATTTTTAGAAGTGCCTATCTGAGGCACCTTCAAGGCACTTGAGGCCTGGAAGCTCCGGAGAATGCTCTTGAATGGCTTTGCAGCCTCAGAAAAGAGTGGGAAAACCCCATTCTCACTTGTTTCTTGGAGGTCTTAGAGGCCTCAGGAGACCAGGCCTTCTCCTTCAACTTCCACAGGGTCCAAAGGCCTGGCATGTCATCAAAAATGGCACGGGTGTGTCGCCAATGGCCTAGAACTGTCTGCGGGATGTGAATGGCTGACTTCTAGCCCTCTGTCCGTCCCTTGAGACTTTTATCCATCTCTCTGCAGACTGCCCGAACCAAACCAACTCTTCTTCAGTGGGGAAGTCCGAGGCGAAAGCGCCATGAAGAAGGAAAGCGACGTGGGCAGTCCAGTGAGCTTCAATGTGACGGTGAGTGATCCTGATGCCTTCAGAGCAGAGATGTAGTATCATGATTGCAACACCTTCACGTTGTAGTCACCCGTTATGTTTGGACATGGTTGAGGCAACCTTGTCCCCTCTGGTCAGTAATAAGGATTGTAAGGTTAACAAAAAATGGTATTCAAAAATAAATGTTGATGATATTTAGAATAATGATCTCCTATACTTCAGCTAGTTTGGGCCAGTGGTTAAGGCATCAGGCTAGAAACCGGGAGACTGTGAGTTCTAGTCCCACCTTAGCCATGAAAGCCAGCTGGGTGAGTTTGGGCCAGTCCGTCTCTCTCAGCCCAACCTACCTCACAGGGTTGTTGGAAAATGGGAGGTGGAAGGAGTATTAAGTATGTCTTGAGGCACTAATAAAGTAATAAAGGTGGGATGAAAATCTAATAAAATAAATAATACTTCCTAATCTAGGTGTCACCAACACCCAGTCCACAGCCCTGCACTATTGGGAACTGGGCCGTGCAAGCAGCAGGCAAGCGCATGAGCGTGCAAAGCTGCATTTGTGCAAGTGGGACATGCACACGCACAAAACCATTCCTTCTCCCTCACTGCCACCAGTGCCATTGGCCCGGAAAAGTTGGGGATTGCTGTCCTAATCAATGGTTCCAGGTTTTAAAAAATAGTACTGTAATTATGTTTAAACTAAAAAACTTGATTAGTTTAGGGGCAAAATCTCTTTTGAACATATTGGAACTCTCTGAGAATGTTTTTTAAAAATGGCTCATGCTGTTTTTATGCTGGAGATATAATTTTGAAGGAACTTTGGTGCATATGTTATGGGCTTCTTCAAAGAGAGTTAAGGATTAGAACAGCAGTATTTGTTAAATTATGTCTTCAATGTCTGGAAACTTTCACTCTATGGAGAACACTGGATATATTTTGCTTGAGCTGTGGCAAAATGTGATTATGTATTAATGGGAAAATGTCTGTATCCTCTATTTCTTCTAAATGTTAACTTAATGAAATTTGTCAGCTCTCAGCCTTTATACTATTAGTTCTGTACTGATGGAGAGGCAAGAATGGGCAATATGATTTGCTATGACCCAGGAACTAAATTTAAAAATGGAATCACACCTTAGGAAAAAGATGAAGAAAGTTTCTTTTCTTTCTTTCCTTCTTTCCTTCTTTCTTTCTTTCTTTCTTTCTTTCCTTCCTTCCTTCCTTCCTTCCTTCCTTCCTTCCTTCCTTC